TTTAAAAAATTTTTTTCCCCCCCCCCCCCCTTTTTATTAATACCTGGGATTGGCTTCTTGTTTTTAATATGTCCAGGTTGAATGCATTTTTTGACCATTCCTCAGTTAAAAATTAGAAATTTTTCTCAATTGTGACTCCTTTTTAAAGAAGGATTGGTGGATGTCATTTTTATATAGTGAATAATACTTATTTTCAATTTTTTAAGATTTCTTTAACTTTATGCCATTCCTTTTGGTCTGCATGTTAGTATTCACAATGGTGGTGATATTTTTCCTTCATCAGCAGGGTATTCATTTTCACCATTATCAGAACAATTAGTTCATCCTTCTTGCACCCAGCTGAGATTGATGCTGGTTTTTTCTGAAGTTTTTGCAAATTCCTATAAGATAGTGAATTAATTAGTCATATTTACATCCTTTGTAGTTTTTGGTACATTTAGAGGTCTTGATTGACTTAGATCATCTCCCATCTCTTGTTTGGATGGCTTGTTCATACATTTCTTGGTCAAAGTTACTTAGGGGAAACTTGTAAACTATTCATTCCAAATTTGGAATTTTCATAATCTGAATTGTCACTTCCTTCCTTTACATGAGTTTGTTTTTGTATGTTTATTAACATGTTCCAGTATCATCATCATCAGCATTTCCAGAACACATCTCTCCAAGTTTCACTACCTTCTTGTATCTTTAACTGTAGGAACTCAAGCTCCTCTGGAGGACATTCTACAAACTAGTTTTTAGAATTCTCCTTAGACTTTCAACATTTATTTTTATTATTAGTATTTTATTCAGGTGATTTCATTGTAGGAGTTTCATCATCCCCATTTTGTGGTGGTCTAAAGTTGTATTTGCAGATTTAAATTTTTGTGTGTCTGTCTGCTTTATATCTAATTAATAACATATCTCATACTACTTACTTACACAAAATAAAACAATTTGGCAGCAAATTCACCTCAGCCTTCACTATGTATACCTATCATAAATTGATTCATGTGGTAAACTTGTTATCTGTTGTTTCTCGTGGAGGATTTAATTTGTATGTAGGTTTCATGTTTTTGAACTACATTCTCTGCATTTTCAGTCTTGAGGGTGAGGTTTGGGAGGTCTTTTCACTCTCAGTTTTGTTTAGATTGAAAATGTTAATTCTGTTGCACTACTCTTGGGATGGTTGTTTGTTTAAAAAAGCAGGAGTTGGGAGGTCTACTGATCACCTTCCAATGTAGGATACCTTTTTCACAATTGGATGAGCTACATTGATTTTATATATATATTCCAAATTAGACAGTCCAAATAGCTGTCATAACTAACTTGATAGGCCATTTATGTGGACTAAATAACTCTACCCACTGATGGTTTGAGTAGTAGATATTGAGGGTGCTTCTTCACAATGGGTCTCTAGGCCACTTGGGGTGTGGTCATAGGACCAGCAGTGGAATCCAACACCTTTGTAATCATTGGCACATCCATGTCTTGACATAATATGCTCTGCTATTTATAACTTGATGTAAGCTACAGATTATTTGTAAAGTTTTACATAATGAGATACTACTGACATTATGATTCTCCTTTTGCAAGAATGATAGGCATGTCTTCTTTCACTCCCTTTTCTTTATTAAGTATAGGTAGTCTAGCTTGAGGTTATAGTAGAGGAATGTTGTCATATTTGAAATTAACATCATATAATTAAATTCAAGAAAACTACTGTAATCGTTCCCATCATTTTCCCACAATGATGAATTGAGATGTGACAACTTCAAGGAGCTATTGAGAGAGAGAGAAATTAAACCTGTTTTTTTTATATGAATCAGGAATTGTTAGATCAAGGTACAGTACAGGTATATTTCTTTGGATTTGATTTTAATTCTAAAATATTAGTGTTAACAAATAACTGTCATGTTATGGGTTATATTGTACTTAGAAAATACATAATAAAAATTATTATTCTTAAATCTTATTTAACTATTAAAATCCAGGGGAATTCACACAAAATCATGTTGAAAAAACAAAATGCACAGAAAACTGATTAATTAGTAAGATCATGTAAGAATTAAGATGATTTAAAGAAAGGTTGAACACAGCTAAATGACAAATGTTTATGAATACTAAATAATACACCACATCTAGTATTCAATTTCAAAAGTATTCTGTAGTTACTCCTTAGAGAAGTACTTTGTTTAGAATTTGTCTTTATTTATGAAAATGAAATCTTAGTTGACCACAGTCCTAATCATCATAAAGGCCTGACAGAAAATCCTTCCATTGATGCTGATTATGGTGAACAGCAGACTTTAAGGTCCAACAGATCTACATATTTTGAACAGAAGATACATATTCCAACCTCAGAAGCTGTATGTATTTAAATTAATTGCTAAAGTTACTATTACAATTGTAATAATAAAGAGTTAGTATTTTTTTAGGTTTCTAATTTTAAATCATACTCTGTTGTAGCTTCTTTTTTTTTTGTTACTGAGTTTCCATTTCATGACAAAACTAAATTCAAACAGTGGATATATATATATATATATATGTTGAACGTTTCTTTTCTTTTTTGCCAGAGGTGAAATTGAAAAGAGAATCTGTGACGTAGAGGCCTAATGTGTTCTTTGATTGGCCGTACCCTCTGCTGTGGACTGCAGTTTCACCTATTCAAGCCTCATCAGTACAGCTTGGGTCAGCAAACCAAAGAAATACCATTAGGTCTCTTATAATGGTGAAGTGTATATAATATCGATGGGGTTTTGAGTCTATTTTACTTCACCAGATAATAACTAAAATTAATTTAGAAATGTGAATAATGTTATGAAATTTCATTGAATTCATTATTCAGTATTATCCAGTAGACCAAATGAAGCCATGGATAGAAAATTTAAATGTATGGTATTTGATTTAGATTCTGAATGCTTTGAAATTTTACAGTTGAGTATAAAAATATTCAAGAATATCATGACACATGAAATATATTTAGTGTTTCTGACATGCCAAAAGTGGGGTTAGAAAAAAAAATTGATTTTCTTTAATGATTAAGTAAAACCATTATATATATACACAATATGATTTTATACATAGATATTTTTCAGTGGCCCAATATTTCACCTACCACTGTCTTTTTTCAACATGCAGTCAAGGATGTTATTGTTTTACTACCAAGAGTTACCAGAATTATCTCATCACAGTATCTGTATACTAGTTTTAAAAAATGTGGGAATTTTGTACACAAATGAGTATAATCAGTTGTCATTTATATCTTACAAATAATATTTTATGAGTAAAATCCTATAATAAAGGATTGCTAATGTATTTTTAAACATTTTCACACAGAAATATTCACAAGAGTAATTGTTTTTAAATAACGAAAATGACCTTGATGCTGACAGAAGAAGAGCTAAGCTAACTGTACAAATTATTCTTCCTAAAATAATCTAGGAGATTTCTTTTGCTTTTTTATAACAAACTATTTTATCCACTAGCAGCTTACTAAAGTATGTATCAAAATATAGTTTTGTATTAAGAAGGGGGCTAAATTTTGGCCATAAACTAAACTGCATTTTTGTCTTGTTTATATTATTTAAAAAAGTTTTCACAATGATATGAAATGGTAAAATACAAATATTACAGGGAGAATTGCAACTCATTCATTCTCAAACCAATTTTTCATTTGGTCATATTGTAAACAAACTAGACTTTTATGTGGCTTTTTCTTAGTTATCTATTGTTTTTCAAATCAGATAGACTTACCTCTGAAATACTTAAAGCTATACCTTGTTGAATTTGATTTTGTGCTGTCAACGAAACATGGGATTAAAAATTTCCAAATGTCCTTTATGCATTGCAGAGCATTTGTCATTTACCCATAATTCTACACTTTCACATCTTACACGTGACTTATTGCACGACCATGAGAGGTTTTATACAATCTCTGCTTTCCTTCAGATTTTTATTGTTTACACTAATGCTGTTAACTTTGCAACAACATTCTTTCTGATTCTGCTATTTTAGTCACTATTGGAATTTCTGTAACTTAGTTGGAGGCCTTACATATACAATTTGCCTGTAGCATGCAGGATAATGTTATAGTTGCATTGTCAGTCCTGATTGTTTTCAGTATATTTGTTCCATTGTATACAGGAGTTCCTAGCAGGTACCATGATTGTGGGGATGATTAATTTGTTCAATATTCAACATTTTGGTTTTGATAAAGGTCAATCTATTGCTTGGGCCTAATCACCCTCAGAGTCTGCAGATCTAGATTTGTCTCTTACAGTAATAGCCCTAATCCTGATGATATTTCTGCTGATTTTATTTTATTTCTTAAGGATATGTTATATTTTCAGTGTTGAACTTAATTCCTTCACATGTGAGGATGTGTGTATATTGTCAGATGATTTCAATATTGATTTTTTATTTCTCCTATCTCCTCTTGATATTCGTTCTGATTATTTTTAGTCAGGATCACATATCTACTTTAATGTCCTCATCACATACAGGTATCACTGATACTGTTTCCATTACCATGTGGCTCTTACATTCCATTGGCACTTTTGTCCATGCTTGGTTCCAAGGTACTCATCTTTAATCATCTGACCTCCATATTTATGCATGTATGCTTTGTTTTTTGTTACTTTAACTTTTTTTTTTTCTATTTAAGGGCAACTTGCCAGCAGGAGTTGATTAGGATTTCAGCATCTTGTCTTGTTTCTGGTTTGTCATTCCTTTCCAACTTGTGTGTAAAGTTCTTTGATTTTGGCACATCTACTCATGCTTTTTGTGTGGCCAAACATCAGTATAAGGAAGGATGTCTTTATGACTTACTCATTCACTCACTGTTTTGAATGACTCTTCCATCCTGACTTTTAAGGATCATTTCAGAGTTTTATTTATCTATGGACCCTTGGCTTCATGTTCCTCTGGTTTATTCAATTTTTCAGTTTGGTTTTATATTCATCTTCCAATTTTGACTGTACTGGTTTCTATTCAATTTTGTGTATTAAAGTTTCAGACTTTTTCCACAACAAAGAAATATTGATGTTGTATTTCATATTTCCTCAGGGTGTTTGCTATTATCTGTTTTATGGTGTCAAAGACAACAGGAGATAGGAAGCTTGTCTGAGATCTTTCCTTTCTCATTTGTTACCTAGATATTTCTGCTTTCTAGGTGGAAACCATGATAATCTTATGAAAGTTCCTTTCTAAAGGTTTTTGGATAATGAATAGGGATTTCAGAGATGCTTATTTGCACATCCTGATTCACCTATATTCTCATCCATATCATAATTTTTCACTTTAATGTCCCTTTCTTTTTGGTTTGACTTTGGCACCCTGTGTTTGTACACTTGTAGTCAAACCATAAGCTGGTCTTCTACACACACATGTAATAACAATTGCCAAAATTCCATGGATGAATATATGATTCTTGTTCAGTGGTCGCCTCACACAGAATTAAACTTCCATTTATCTTCTTCTCTTTCAGTGTTTTCTTAATGTTCCCATTACATTGTTATCACATTGTTGAGTCCATCCTTAGGGACTACTTAAGAATTGCTTCAGTTCTTCCTGAGCTCACACTACTTTGGCCATTTGTGTGACTCACTGACAGTTTTCATTTTGGATGGAGAGGGCTACTATCTCTGGAATATGTCTTTACATAATGTGTGTGTGTGTGTGCTGCTTCCCTGAGAACATTCCACTGCAGGAGCAGTATATAACATTTATCCCTATTTATGCCACCAACCATATCCCATAATTGGCTCCAAAGATTCAGTATAGCATTACCAACTGACCCCTTTGCCTGAATTAAAGAGCTTCATGTATGAAGAGGTACCCTGCTGAGAAGAATGCCTGATTATTAAGTGTCCTTTTAACCCTCTCCAGATGGGTCACAGGTCAAAAGGCATGTCATTATGTTTGTTGACTCGCATACAAAATGTTATTGAACTACTATTTGATAAATTTAAGTCCATAAGTTTGGTATCCAATAGTAGGTTATAATTAAAATTTTAGTATTATACTTAATTTCTTAATTTAAAAGTAAATATTAAAAAACACAAATAAACATCAATTTTTATGTGTTTCACATGGTATGTTGGATGCAGCACTGGTTCTAATTAGATGTTTGTGATGTCAAAATACTAAGTCTTAAGTTTTGTACGAATTAGGAACTCACATTACCAATATTGAAAAGCTAGAATATAATATAAGAACCTCATGTCTTTTCTATTTACTGAGATATCACTTATGTACTGATTCAAACACAGTGGCCCCCCTCAGCGGGCCCTTATATACACTTAATTCAATATATGACATATCAATAACAAATCAAAAGCTCAGAATGTCCCCATAGTGGCTTTCTCAGCCATTTTAATGTGTTAGGATGCCATCTCATTCTTTTGAACCAAGATTTCAAAGAAGTAGGTTGTGTCTTTAGTCTGCTCAAAATTTCATATTTTTTAGACCCAAATATAGCCTAGCTAATATGCTTGATAAATTATAGTGGAATTCTATGGTTATGGTATAGTAATTTATGATTTTTGGTTATTCAACTGTGTGTATATATATATATGAAACCTAAAAAAAATATTTTATTTCATATCCTCCACATTTATCCAATTTTAAAAGGATAAGCAGCCTATGTCAAGCAGCAACCAAGTACAAAGGTTGTAACTAGAAGAGATAATTGTTTGCTTTACTTCTTTATTTACTGCTCTATGTTTTAAGAAAAATAAGTTTAAGAACTTATTTCTAATTACTAATAATCTATATACCTATATAATGTATAATAATTGAGATTTGACTGTATTTTACAAAGTACTAGTCCGCTAAAACACAGCCAGGACAGGCCATTTTGTAAAGACTAAAAGTCAGTTTTATATTATTGGATACGGTAACATGAGAGCATGTGTGCTACATAACTTCTGTATTGTTAGCCAAGTATGGCTGAAAGGTCAATATAATAGAAATAATAAATATAAATATAAAAACAGTTATATTTTAGTGTTATAATTTGTTGTCATTCTAGAATGAAAGAGGCATAATTTAAAATTATTTCCTAATTTTTATGGTGGTTAAGAAACGTTTGATAACTATCTGGACATTATAAAGATTTTGCAAGTGAAATCTGAAAATTTTCTGATGCATAAAAGTATTTTTAATCTCAAAATGAAAATTACTTTGCATGTTGGATAGGCAACATGTGAAAAGAAAAAAAGAGGCATGAGAAAAACATTGCTTAACAAACTTTAACACTTAATAAACAAAAACTTGATATGTTGCTTATGAAAGCATTGTAATGTTTACTGATAATTTGCCAAATTTCGTTAACATAAGCTTACTAATTTAAAAGTTATAGCATAAAAACTATAACAAGCATAAAGTGGTTACAAGGCTGGTCCTAGGGACCGAGCCCATGCTGAAAGAGTTAATCCAGTTTTTATTAGACTGGTTTGCTCCAGTCACTCTCCCTCTGATCCAGTTCTGGATTCAACTCTGGTTCTGCTTGGCTACATATTTTTTGAAGTCTCAATTATTATTTTTCTGCCCTTATAGCTTGTAGTATTATATTTTTATGTTTGTTTTCATATTCATTGGTTACTACACTCATTATAATGTTGGTATCCTGGCTTTCATTATTTCAGAGGTAAGCCTAACTGACTTGAATATTAAATTTTTAGAAGTAAAACTTACTTGAAACCTGAAAGCCTAAAACTTAAATGTTTCTGAAGGTTTTTAAGTTTCTAGGGTTTTCATAATTTATATTTTCTAATTAAAAGTAAAATTTTAATTTTTTAAACATTTTTAGCTTTATATGCAACAACAACAGGCATTGAAAAAAAAATCTCTATGTTTCATGGTAATATATATATAGTCACCACATATCAAATACAAGATTACTTTCTAGAAAATTTGTTTTTCTAAATGTATTTATTCTTGAATTTTGTTTAAAACAAAATGATAAAAAACAAATCATTCAATATACTTCTGATAACATACTGAACAAGCATTATCTTAATAACTTTGTAGTTTTTTTAGTTAATAACAAATCTCTATTTTATTTGTGAAACATAGTTTTCAATATCCCTTTTTTGTGCTTTATGTTGTGCAGTATTAAGTTATTATGTGGTAGGTTTATTGAACTCATTTATATCTAAACAGTGATTATTTTTCAGTCTTATTTAAAATATTTTCTTTCTGCTCTAGAGTATCTTTAGTTTCCGAAAGTTGTGGGCCTTTACAGGACCTGGATTTTTGATGAGCATAGCCTATCTGGATCCTGGAAATATAGAGTCTGATCTTCAGTCTGGAACAGTTGCAGAATTTAAGGTAACAGTGGTTTGAAATTGTCAATAGGATTTGATTTGTAAAACTCTTTGAAACATACAGAGTGACTGGGTCTTTTCATATTGTGTTACTTCCTGTATGACAAGAACTTTGCATAGTTTAAAAATATATTGTTTAAACTTTCACTTTACCATGTTACAAATAAGAAGAAAAAACTTTTCTCTCTTCTTTTATGTAGATGCATGTTTTGTATAAAGCAAAAACTGTTAATTTTAGAATTTGATTTAGGAAAAATAGTGTGCACATGTTTGAAGTACACCTGGTCTCCATACCTTTGATGTAATATTAATACCAACAAACTACTGAAAAAAACCTTTTGAAAAAAAGTCTTTTTCTTTTTACTCTTAATTTTGGGGATTGAGGATAAGTTTTATATGATATTGAAGTATAGTTGAGTGAATTCCAAGTTTTGTTTAATATATTTAACCTTTTCCTCTAAGGTTTTATTTACAACTGATACAAATTTTTGTACATTATTGGTAGTAAAATATCTTTGGAAGATACATTTATTTATCACCCAATAGTCTGTCTATCTGTAATAGCCTGTTTATTTTTGTTTTTTTTCCTACTTTATAAGGAAATACAACTTGGCTAAAAACAGTGAATTGTAGTGTAAGTGTGGGATGTTGTAAACTAAAACACCCAACATCTCTTCATATTTTTCTGTTAATTTCATGTGTGCAGTTCATGATTATTTGTTTTTGCTAATTCAATGGTTTGTCAGTAGAGGTGCAAACCATTGTGCCATTGTTGATGTTTAACAGCTGTACTTTTGGGTCACTGTGAATTCCTGATCATCTCACGGTTTATTGCTGACATGGTTATTGTAATGGCTGGAGCCGTTATGTATAAAGCATTTCATAAGATAAATATTTACACAGAGCATCTCTCATTAATGTAGTAGATTCATATGATATAACTTTTAGATCAAGGAAGCCTTCAGTATTCTCCATGGAAGTGAAAAAACTTGCACAGCAGAGCATTTAGAATAGCATCCAGCTTCCAAACCACAACTAAACTCTGATTATTGCTTTAAACCATGAAGACGAAGACTTTTTGATTAGAAAGAAAAAACGTCTATTCAAAAAAGTTATTGCAATGAAACTGATCTTTTTTTTTCCTGATATTGTTAACCCTATCTCGAAGGGCCATGTGTCAAAAGCCATGTCATCACGTTTGTTGACTTGCATTCAAAATTTTATTGAACTACTATTTTATGAATCTATGTTAATATGTTTGGTATCCAATTGTAGATTATAATTAAACTTTTAGTTAATTATATGTTAGGTAATTTCTTAATTTAAAATGAAATATTTAAAAAACACAGCTAAACATCAATTTTTGTGGGTGTCATATGGTATGTTGAATGCAGCACTAGTTCAGATTAGATGTTTGTGATGTCAAAATTCAAAGTTTATAATTTTGTACGAATTAGGAACTCAAACTACCGATATTGACAAGTTAGAATATAAAATAAGAATCTCATTTCTTTTCTGTTTGCTAAGATATTGCTCATGTACTGAATCAAACACAGTGGCCCCTTGCCCACCTCTTTCCATTTTTGGAAAAGCTCCCTTATATACACTTATTTCTATATATGACATGAATAACCAGTTGAAAGCTCAGAATGTCCCTCTAGTAGTTTTCGCAACCATTTTGACGTGTTATTGTGTTAATCTCATTTATTTCACACAAGATTTCAAAGGATAAGGTAAGTCTATAGTGAGCTCGAAATTTCATATCTTTTAGACCCAAATATAGCTTAGTTACTATGCTTGATAAATTATAGTGGAATTCTATGGTATCGATATGGTAATTTATTATTTTTGGGGGTTATTTAAAATGTATACATAAAACCCAAAAAAATTTCTTTTCACCTCCTCCATGTGGGAAATTTCATAAGGCTTAGCAACCTATGACAAGTGGCAAATGAGTACAAAGGTCATAACTAAAAGAGATAATTGTTTGCTTTACTTCTTTATTTACCGTACTAAGTTTACGAACTTATTTGTAAATAGTACTAATGTATATACATATATAATGTATAATAATTGAAATGTGACTGTATTTTACGATTGTTAGTCCACTAAAACACAGCCAAGACAGGTCATTTTGTAAAGAGTAAAGGTCAGTTTTATATTATTGGATATTGTATCATGAGTGCTCGTGCACCGTGTCATTGTAAATTCTGTATTGTTAGCCAGGCACGATTGGAAGGTCAATATAATAAAAATAATAAATATATATAAATGTATAATATTATGAGATTGAAGCTATTTAGACTAAACATTTGTGTTTTTGTGTTATAATCTATAGTCATTTTTGAATGAAAAAAGCATAATTTAAATTTATTTCCTAATTTTGTATGGTGGTTACGAGGTCAGTCAAATTGACAGAATCCATAGAATTAGGGTAGAGAAAATAACAGAAACAATATTTTACTGAAAACATACATTTGAAATGTATATAGGAGGATTTAGAGATTACACAAATAATATTTGAGATTTTTGGGATGAACAATAGTTTTTCAGTTATAACATTAAAATCACTTTGAACCAGAACTGGTAATGAAACAGACTTGATATTTTAACAAACAGATCTATAACAAAAATACTTCATTAAAAAATTTGGTTTTTGTGTATGAAAGACTTGTAATCTTTACTAAAAGCCTACCAAATTTTGTGAAGATACACTTACTGCATTAAAAGTTATAGTATAAATACTTAATTCGTGTATATTATACCAAGCCTATTGCGAAATGGTTAACAAGATAATGTACAAGGATTCGAAGCTGAAAATGGCTCATAAGCCAAAATTATGCTGAAATTTTAAAATTTGATTGAATATTATCATGCAGCTGTTTCAAATGTGATTTGTATTTACAGTTATTACTATATATATATATATATATTGTCCCCAGTGGCATAGGGGTATCTTTGTGGAATTAAAGTGCTACAAACATGGTGTGAAGAGCACAGATAACCCATTGTGTAGCTTTATGCCTAACTACAAACAAACTATATATTTTTTCTAATGAGAGGAAATTTTTTCTCAGTTGAGGTTTTTTTTTCCATCTTTGTAGATGTCACATAATAATCTTCTTAAAAAATGTTAGAGATAAAATTCAAACTTCAAAACTTAACAAAATGTGAAATCTATAAACCAAAACTGTACTCAAAATTTTAATTTTCAGAAAAACATAGTTTCTTTGATGCAATGCATGTATCGTTTATAGTATTTCGTTACTTGTATGATTCATAAAGAGGCCATTGTGCTTATTCTGATGTAAAATTATACAATTTCAAATGTGTAAACATATTAAATTCACATTTTCTTTTTTCCAGCTGTTGTGGATTTTGATGTGGGCAACAGTTTTGGGTTTAGTCATGCAACGATTGGCTGTTCGAGTTGGAGTGGTGACAGGACTAAATTTAGCCGAACTTTGCCAACGAATTTATCCAAAAGTGCCTCGTTTGATTTTGTGGATTATGATAGAAATTGCCATAATTGGGTCTGACATGCAAGAGGTTATAGGAACAGCTATTGCATTCTATTTGTTGTCTAATAAAGCGTAAGTGAAGGATATATTTAGGGGGGTTTATTTTTGTACTATGTTAATAGTTTAGGCTGAATTTTTCCACTGTCTTTATTTTAGTGAAAACAGCATAGTATCATACATTCTCAAAGTTTCTTCTACTTTGATTTTAAAGTTGTACACCACTGATATTATTATAATGATCTTTAATTAAATTCAGTTTGTTATATGAAAAGTTACAAAAATAGAAATACGTAAATCTTGTTCTGTCAAAGGAAGTAAAACATTCTGAATGACTCCAAGAAAAAAAGGACAAAGTACTGTTGTTGGATGATTAGTTTTTGAAATATAGCTACAGAGTATATATTACAATTAAAGAATTCCTCATCAATAACATCAAGCTGCATTTGTTGATGTAATAGTACTATTTAAAAAAAAATCTTACAATGCACACACAGTGATATTCATTTAGTATCACTAGTGTAGATGATAAACAGTAACATTCAAAGACTGACAGCTTAGAGCTATATAGAATAGATGACTTAGTGCCCAGCTGATGTAAAGATAATTTTATGAAAGAGTACGTAAAATGTTCTTTCAATACACAGAAACATTTATTATAACAAAATTTACATAACATCACTTGTGTTCGTATGCATCATTTTACATTAACAAAACATGTTCATAAAAGAACTAGGCCAGTTATTCGCTAATACTAAGGAAGTAAAGCTTGTATAACTTTTTCTTTTTTCCTTGCTTGAAAAATCTGTAACTATTTGACAGTGATGGCTATTTTTTATATTATGAATGAGAACACTTGGGTATAAGCAAATAATAATAGCCAAAGCTCAATCTGTTTTTATTGATATTTTTGTTTTTTTTCAGTTAATGTTTATTCCAGTGAAGGCAGTATGCATTTTCAGTTTTAATAAAATACACATAGCTGAATTTGCATAAAGACATCAAATAAAAGAAATGTTTAACAGCTGTGATATTTTATTTATTAACAATCTTGGTCTCCTTAAGATTATTTCAGTATAAACTTGACAGGCTTGTTGTTTTTAGTGTTTTAGTTATCAGTACATATAATTCAAATACTAGTAATGTGTTTACATTTTTGTTTTCAAAGAATGGATTTAAAATTTTTAAATTAATAATTAAATTTGTCATTTCTGAGTATTTCAGTCAAGCCTATTGAAGCTGTCCTATACTTTCAAAGCAGTTTTAGTAGTTTAACAAATTAAAATTTTTTTATGTATTTGTTTTGAAATATAGAAGAAAAAAAAAGAGCTTATTCCTTGTACATATATGTCATTTTCAGCTTTATAGTGTCAACCAAGTATTTAGTTTACAAAATGCTGTATATTATTTAAAGTTTATAAGTATTTGTTAAACTTATTACGAAACACGTATAGGCATAATTTTTCAAATTTCACATCATCCATCTTATATAACTGCTCAACTCTCCATATTTCTTGTTGCACTTAATTTTCAAGACTTTATATTATTAATTTTAAGGATCTTCTTACTTTTATATTTAGGTTACCACTGTAAAGATAATGCACTTAAAGTCCCAATACATGAAAAGAGAAATGGCAAATATAACTCACTTCAGGTGAGAAAAAATATGTATATCATAAGCATTTGACATTGCATTAAACCTTTCAACAACCTTAATGGACTGAGCATGGCCATGAATTAGTGTGTCAGATTATAGATCTGAGAGTTCATCATTCACTTCCTGTTACTACCCAAAAAAATGGTTTTGGCAGTAAGTGCATTATAATGGTGACAGTAAAATCCCACTATTAAGAAAAACAAGAATAACCCCAGAGCTGGTGGTGAGTGCTTTTGACTAACTGCCTTTTCTGTAGTCTTATCACTTTAAAAATTATGGCTTGGCAGTGCAGATAGCTCTTGAATAGCTCTGCACTAATATCCAAAAACAAACCAAACATCTGCAACCTTATGTACATGTGTGTGGAGATGTTTGAGATACTAATCAAGAAATGTATGTTAGACTGATTTTTTTTAATCCAACATAAAAGGAACATTAATTAAAATTGCCCTAGTTTGATTTTCACACACACACCATATGAGCCTGAATAAAGGGCAATCTTGATGATAAGGTGACTTATTAAATTACAAGAGTAGTAATAAAAAAAGTAGGAAAAATTTTATTTTTATTTTATATTATACCTCAAAATACTAAAAAAGAAAAGTACATTTATTTTAGGAAATACAACAATATGTACTGTTTTTTGTATATTTCCTTTAAGTGGTTTGTTTACAACCATGTCTAAGAGTTGTAGTTATGAAGTCATCTCTTTGGGGGATTATCACAGAGTCAGTGTTAATGTTACGAAGTTTCTTAAAATCACTTATCAAATAATCATAGACAGCATTTAACACAGCATTCCCCTTCAGAACTCCTCCTTAATCTTTTCAATTGTCTCTTTTCTGGCCCACAATTATCCACATAATCACCACTTCCTCCAGGGTTATTTATTTTAACCAATACAATCTTAGAAATACACAAAAAAATAAGTGAAACAAGCTTGTCACAACCGAGACCAACAGTGGTCTTTTTAGGTGAAACCAATTTAATGCTAGAGAATTGGGGTAGGTCTGCTTGATAACGGGAAGTTGAACAAGACAGAGTTTGAGAAAGAAAAATACTGGACACAAATGTACAAAAACACTATGAACCAATGTTTTTCAATCTGACAAATACGATCAAAATAATGTAAGTATAGATTGAAAGACAGTATCTCTGCTAGATAGTTAACTCTTTTACTGCCTTAGCAACATATAAAGAGATTAACTAAAAATTAGTTAAAGCTATGTTCATGTGTTAAACTTTAACCTTCTTGTTACGAGTAGGTCAAAGTGCACATTCAAAATGTAAATAAAGTACTTTATTATTAATGTATATGAATAAGTATGTCATCAAAATGTAGTTAATAAATCACATTTTAATGTTGTATAAGTTTTAAGTTCATAAATTAAAAGGAAATATATAACTAATTTTTTAATCACCCCTAGTATGAAAATCATGACAATTGTTCTCTAGGTCTTCTACTATCTCTAATTTATTTACCCTCTCCTCTCAGTGGTACAGAATTTAATGTAAGCTACTCATTATAATATAGATATTATTAGGGCAAAGTCTAATTTTTATAGCTTTTAATCTTATTTGTTTCCAGTCATAAACTAGAAAATGAGAACCACTCACCCATGCCCCCTGTTTCAACCTCTTTCACAAATCCTCACTAGTTCTGACATTTTATGCTATATTTTATATACCCAATAGAAAGGCAAAGTTTTAATCAATCAAATGATATATTATTTTGTTTTCAGTACAGTGTATTATCTATTTCATCTTCAGTTTGAAAATTTCTCTTGTGGTGTTCAGATCAGGAAGATTTGGGAATTATTTTAAGGCTTTTATGTCATAGTTAGAAATCCAGGTAAATTAGAACAGTTAGAGGACATTATTTTCTTTGTGTGTGTTATTATTCTTTGTTTATAGGTGTATTATTTAAGTTAAAAACTATTTAGTGTACTAGTACCATTAGTATAAAAATAAAAGTAGGCTTAAATTTTATCAGCAACATACAGCAAAAGAACAAGAGGTCATAGGTAAGTACTATATTTCTTATTTTTTATTCTTATTTATTTATTATTATAAAAGTAACTGAAATTTAAAAATTAGAAACTTATTATGTTAGATAAGAAAAGAAAAATAAAGTTTCTTCATAGGGTATGCTTGCAACCAACTCATGCATTCATTATGTGATTCAATATGGTAATTTGAGCTACGTGTTTGCTCAAGTGATTTACAACTTGTGTGGTGGGATTATTGGTTAGACACAGTTCAAAGGGAAATAAAACAATAAAATTAAGTATAAATAGATGTAAACTGTAACAAACTTTAACCTATTTAGGATAAAAAATTGTAGTTTCCTATTGTAATCTGCAGTCGTTCTAGAAAGAGCGAGTCCATATAGAGTTAGGTTAGAGAAAATAATAGATCAAGTGTAAAGTTTTATTGAAGATAAAATTTTTGATATTTGCTTAAGAGGTTTTAGATGTTATGCAAATGAAATTTGAAAATTTTCAGATGAAGAAATATATTTTTAATCTTAACATGAAAATCACTTTGCAGTTAGAGCAGTCAAATCTTTAGTAAACATGCTTAATTAAAAAATCTGATATCTTATTTATGAAGGACTTGTAATATTTATTGAAAGCTTGCCAAATATAATGAAGATACAAAAAACATGTTAAAAGTTATATTATAAAAACTATGATAGTTACTTTGTGGTTACAAGATCAGTCACACCAACCAACCCCATATAGAGGGAGTTAAGAGAACATTATTATTTACAAAGAAATGATTTAAATTTCACTTTCCAAACTGAGAGGGAGTTAACCAAGAGATCATAGTATTATATACCAAAATATCTATAACACTGTATTCTCAAGATGCATATTGCCCATGTCACAGATGATAAATTCCATTGAAATGTAATTGAGATCATAACTTTGAAATATCACCTGACCTGTCATTGAAGAACACTGCTTGTGACATCCTTACACAACATACAAGCAAGCCATCCATTAGCAGATCAGGTATTATCACTTGAGAATGACAGAAGAACAGAGGCAGCTGTTCATAGACTATTACAAGATAGAAATGTATGGTATATTCATATATTACAGCAGTAAGATTTGCAAGTTCTAGGGTGGGAAATGAGGTGAATAACTTTACAATAGCTCACCTTTTATGTGTCTCATATATGTCTTTAATGTGTAACATGACTATAATGTGAAATGGATTTTGCCATGTGATACAGAGCATTTATATCTTCAATGCATTATTTAGTTTTTCATTTACGTGAAGTTGTTACCAGCATGTAAGTTATACCATAGACCCTATTACATTTGGAAATATATTTAATTATTGAAAACAGAAATTAAGTAATAAACTTAATTTCAAAGAAAATTTGTTTTATAAATGTAGTTGCATTTTCTTCAGAATCCCACTCTATGGAGGTGTTCTCATCACAATTGTTGACACATTTACATTCCTGTTTTTGGATAAGTATGGTCTACGAAAATTAGAAGCTTTATTTGGTTTCTTGATTACAGTTATGGCTATTACTTTTGGATATGAGGTGAGTGATAAATTTCTTTTGTACCAATAGCTTAAACTTTAGGCTTGTTTAAATAATACTTACTAATGATGAGATCCACATATTAAATTTTATTGATGTTTTTGTTTGTTACAATACTTGGAAGTACATGGAATTTTTGAATTTTTTTTCATCTGCACTCCCACCACGTTCTTGGCTTAGATATCTATAGAAGTTTGAAAAACTACCAGTATTATGCTTCACATTCTCCTTTATATGCTGCTCTAAATGATGCATGTTTGATCCAACATGATCTCATCTACATCAAGAGCAAACATATTGATAAATGACGTAAGAACATTGAAGTTTATTATTTCAATATTTTGTTTTGAAAAAGTTCTTTATTTTTAACATTCATTTAAAGATACGCACTGAAATTTCAGGATAGTTTGATGTAAAAATATCTTTGATTCTGTTCATCTTTAAGTAGGGTCTGCATTCTTGTCTTTGACAATTTGATGACTGGCAACACCTTGAAAGCATGAAATTCCCCTCTCTCAAACTTCAGTGACAGAGAGGAGACTATGTTCAGGATCTCATAGAGCAGGCAGCTGGTAGCATGAAACTGGAAACTTCTCAGTTTCTTCAGGATACCTTTCAGCTCAAAGTTTAGTTTGCTGTGCATGTAGTGTGCAATGGAATTCTCAGTTGTGTGAGCAAGGGGGATCCAATTTTCAACAGGATGTGAACACCCTTTCTTGAGTAGCCTGCAAAGTGTGTTCCATGGATCTTTGGGAGCTTGTATATCTAACATTCCTGTGCCTTTACCATTTCTTCAAAGTGCTTCTTAAATTTCCCAAATCTCTTCATTAGGTAGTATAGGGTGATCATCAGATCTTTCACTGGGTTAAAAGCTTCCTCTTTCATCAAGGTGTCCTATACTGTTAGTTCCAACTCGGTGTGAGACACAGTGGATCAAAATAAACCAGTGATGCTCAGCTTTCTGCAGTCTCACCAGAACATCTTTATAGATCCCTGCAAAAAAATATATTTAGCTTTTAAATAAGATGCATAACCCTTCACCTGAAGCATGATAACTTCCACAAAGATTTTCTACCGTAGTAAACTTTACCTAAGCTTTTAGCTTATAATTTGTTCATTTTGTGATCAAGTAATTACCAATAGTATATAGGGACTTTAAACTTATTCATCTTTTTTGAAAAAATATTATATATATATATATATATTTACATTGTATTAAAAATTAAAGACCACTAGAACTGTGCTCATTATATCACCTGCATTCACCAATGCTCCATCTGCAGAAGCTGACAACAAAGCTTTGGTATACTGATCATGGGTGATATTAAACTTGTTTGTAAGAACACTATCTATTGACTTGTGAAGATTTTCTGCAGTCCCATACCCTTAAATATGTTTTCCAGTGCAGCAGCAACAACCCTAACCATGACCAGCTCTTTCTCACTTGCAGTTTTTCTAGATTGTAATTCATCACTGAGCACAGAAAATGCAATAGAAGAGCACAATATTGTTGATAACTTTCCACGGATGGCATTTGCAATTTCTTGAACAAATTCTCTTAACTCTGTTACTTGCTGCCTATGGTATTTTCATTTTTTTTTTATTCACTCTTGTAGTTTTAAGGAGTGCTGCTACTTATCTTCTTTGGACAAAGTTAAGAAGCCTGAAGGAGTGAGCTCACACTCCTTAAAAATTAACCTCTAGCCATCTCTGTAAAGTTTTGGAGAACAACTTCCTTCTACAGTTGCAAACAGCACTTGCCCTACCTGGAAAATGAGAAACATATTTCTTTTTTTTTATTCATTCAGTATATTATGTTGATTTAAACTTTGCAACTCTTCCCCCCTCCCTTTCCTGGAGAAGAGATGGGAATCTTGTATATATTTTTTAGACCCAAATATAGCTTAGTTACTACGCTTGATAAATTATAGTGGAATTGTATGGTATCAATATAATAACTTAGAATTTTTTGGTTATTTAAATGTACATATAAAACCTAAAAAATTTTTTTTCACATCTTTCACATGGGAAATTTCATAAGGCTTAGCAACCCACAACAAGTGGCAAATTAGTACAAAGGTCATAACTACAGGAGATAATTGTTTGCTTTACTTCTTTATTTACTATTAGAGATTTAAGATATTTAGACTAAAAATGTGTGTTTTTGTGTTATAATTTGTAGTCATTCTAGAACGAAAAAAGCTTAATTGAGATTCTTTTCCTAATTTTTTATTGAGGCTATGAAGTCGGCCAAATCGAACCTACCCGTACAGAAATACAGTAGTGAAAATAACAAATAAAATATAAAGTTTTTTTTCTACAAAATATTTGATAATTATCTGGAGATTATAAAGATTTTGCTTGTGAAATTTGAAAATGTTCTAATGCATTAAAGTATTTTTAATCTTAAAATCAAAATTATTTTGCATGATGGATAGTCAACATTCTGAAAGAAAAAGGTTTACGAGAAAATTTTTAATTAAAAAATCTTCATACTTAATTTAAAAACCTGATATTTTGTGTGCGAAAAACTTGTAATGTTTACCAATAACCTGCAAAATTTTGTAAAGATGTGCATACATTATCAAAAATCATAATATAATTACTCTCATGAAATAGAAAATTTGAAAAATGTTTCTTAAATGGTATGTACACCCTTTGCAAAGTGAGGTATGTTGTTCTAAAACTGTACCAATTGCCCATTTATGGGTGAAAAATCAAATCAAACTGTCCTTAAATTTCATTGTGTATAGTTTTAAAATTAATGTTGAGAATGGAGAACTGCTTCAAGATAAAGGAAAGAATCATCTTTAATGCTTTTACATTGTTTAGAGCAGCGTATAAAAGGGTGTCTAAAACCTAATATTGGCAATTCTTTAAACAACTACACACACACCTGAACTACGAACATGATGAGACTGCAGATTAAAAGAACTTTGAAATTATGTTTCGTTCCAACAATAAAGAAGGTGTAAGAATAAAAAAAACTCAGTCATGAAAAGAGTAACACTAGAGTTGAATAATAGTTTATTAGTAATTGAAACCGTAGTTAAAATACAATCCTTACATAAGAAACAGTGACCTATATAACTGGGCAAGATCACTCATTTTCTATGTAAAACATATAGGAAACCCCACTAGTAATTAGCCGGAATGATTGCAATAAAGATATTTTGGATTGGTTTTTTTTTCTTTACATCATATGTTATTAGAAATCCTAAAAACCAACAGTCATGAACCTACAAACAACTTAGTGCATAAATAGTATAGAAAAATGTGTTTAAAAACTAACAGGGATCACCATCAGCAACTTTAGGGTTAAGTTACATGAGTAAAAGTAAATATAAGATTTACCTAGAAAAGAGTAGTAAAGGTCTAAACTAGTTTGGCTTTTGAGTTAGTTTTTTATAAATATTTTATTTCATAGTAGGTTTTTTTATAATATATTTGTCACCAATTTCTTAAAAATGATTTATTTCATATGTTTTTCAGAAGACATTTAAGCTTTTTTCTTTTGCATGGGTTTTATTTAAAAAAATTGCTTATGTTGTTTATATTAGTTAAACTCCTTTATGTCTTATGTCAAAATTTTTTAGATGTTGTTATTGCATTATATAACTTTGAAAAGATGTTTTTTTGAATCTTTAAAATAAAACTGATTGTGTCTTATTTGTTAGTATGTACGAGTTGCCCCGACACAAACAGAAGTGGTTAAAGGACTTTTCTATACCTGGTGTTCTCACTGTGATTCTAAAGCTTTATTGCAAGCTGTAGGAATAGTAGGGGCTGTAATTATGCCTCATAATTTATATCTTCATTCTGCTTTAGTCAAGGTGTGTTTAAGTTTAAATGTGATTCAATAATTTATTTTTTAATAATTATCGAGAAATTTTGTTTTTTGACTTTTCTTCCTTTTTCAGAACTTACTTTGTTTTACCTTAATTTATTATTATTTCCTGAAATTTAAAGATATTTTCCACAGTTGTTGCCTCATATTTCTTATTTCATTAGTTTTCTGGGCCCAGCATAGCCAGATGGTTAGGGTGCTTGAATCGCAATCTGTGAATCATAGGTTTGAAACCCTGTAAAACCAAAAATGTTCCCCCTTTCAGCCGTGGGGGTGTTATAATGTGATGGTCAATCCCACTATTTGTTGGTAAAAGAGTAGCCCAAGAGTTGGCGGTGGGTAGTAATGACTAGCTGCCTTCCCTCTAGTCTTACACTGCTAAAGTAGGGATGTCTAGCACAGATAGCCTTCGTGTAGCTTTGTGCGGAATTCATAACAAACCAAACCAAAACATTAATTTTCTACTGAATGTAACAAAGTAAAAAAACAATAACATTATTTGATTTTGACTAAAGTTACAGGTATTTTAGTGGAAGATTAAAATTCTTGTAATTTTAAATAAAGATATTGAATGATTTTTAATGACATTACTTTTATTTTGAAATGTTTATTTTATTGAGAATCAAATAGTTGTTGATAATTTTCATGTTATTAATATGCTATTAAAATGTATTTAGAAATTTTTAAGATGTAATGTAGTTGAAACACCAGCATGGCATTTTACTTATGTTATTAATAATCATTCAGAAATTGTTCAAGAACTTAGTGAAGTTCACAGTCATATTCATAGCTTATAATATAGAAAAAGTGTATTACAACATACATAACTTATAGTCTGAGCTATAAATTTAACAGATACAAAAGTAATAAAGATATAAAGTGAGTTGGGTATTTAAGACGAAGCAACATGTCTTTCCTGAAACATTCACAACTAATATTGCTAATATAAGAGTCTTTAAGGTCATAGCCTGAACTATTAGGAAGAAGATACATTTATTTAAAATCCAAAGAATTGATAGATATTGTTAGGTTATATCTGGTTATGACATATTTCTTTTTATTTAATTATCAAAAATCTAAAACAATTTAATGCCCCATTTTTATTTTTCAGATACTTAAATTTAATGCTTTTATAAGACATTTATTGATTAATCAGCTCTAACTTAAAAGAGTTTGAATTTCTTTACTGTCAGTCTCGAGAAGTGGACAGATCCAAAAGAAATGAAATCAAAGAAGCAAACAAGTACTTTTTCATCGAATCAGCTATAGCTCTTTTTGTATCATTAGTCATCAACATATTTGTAGTTTCTGTATTTGCTGAAGGTTTGTACAACAAGACTAATGCTGATGTGGTAAGTTGTGAAGTATATGGATCTTTTTTTACATAATTTATTTTTTAAGAGTTACTGTGATAATGTTATCAGATGCATTTCAAAGTAGGTAAGATTTAATTAATTTTGACCTGTTTAGCTGTATAATGTAAAAATAATGATGAGATTGATGTTATTTAAGTTCCAAAAACTGAATTTAATGTGTAAACTTTATTTTGAGAATCAAACAACCTGTTTACTTAATAGCTAAAAATAATTCATTTTAACTATATAGGTACTAATGTTAGAAAATTTCAACATTACAATTGTCTGGATACTATACCAAAGCTTTGTTCTTTTTCCATGCAAGTGATGTGTGACTATGTTATAATCAGGGAATGGAAAAAGGTAAAAAAAAGTTTAATGTTAATTTGCTCAAGTTGAAATTGAAGTTATCCTTATTTTAATATATATTGCTAATATGTATTAGTTTAGTTTAACTAATTCCAATACGATATCTTACACTGCCCTCTATTAATCACTTCTCAAT